TTTGACGGGAGGGTGACACTTGCGAGGAGAGTAATACCGAACAACAATGCAGCTATGTATGTATTAACGTTAGGGCTTACGTTTACGCTTAGGATTACGTTAATTGGTTAAAAACGCTACTAGGATCTGAGAGTGTGAGTGTGTCAATGTGCTTATCAAATGGCCTCGATTGAGTTACTTTCGTTTTTTTTGCCAATTATTTAAAATTCCTTTACTGGGTTCGTGCTGTTTTTAATATTCGTTAAATTTTCGTTTTTTTTTTTTTAATTTTTATAGAATAAGTTTAACTACGTTTTGTTTTTGTTTTCCGTTCAGTTAAAAATGCTATTGAATGTGGTGCTTCTTCTTTTTTTAGTTTTTTCGTTTCCCTTGTTTGTTTTTTATTTTTTATTTTTTTTTTTGTTTGTTAATTTTTCCTTTCTGTTATAATTATCACTTTCTGTTGTTCTGTGTTTTGCGTTTATTGGCTTGTTGTTGTTGTTGTTGGTGAATGTCTTCGATGCCCGCAGCAATTGGTGGACATTTGCTGCATCTAGCAGCTCTGGCTCTGGCCTTTGAATTCGCAGAGTACACCGTTATTCTTTTATCGTTTCGTTTGATCGGGCCAACAACAAAAAGAATAAAAAAAACAACAACAGCACGTTGTAGCAGAATCGTGTCAACTTCAACTGAACAGACTAGTTAGTATCTGCAAAGTGTGCACACTTTCATACGCACCAACAACAAAGGAGCTCACCGCACAGAGCACTGCTTATTTATTTCCGCTTATCCTTTTGCGTTTGGCTTTGTTACTGCTGTTTTTTTGCTGCTAGTTTGCTATTTTTTTTTTTTATCGTTAATGCTAATGTTAATGTTGGCAATGATAAATGTAATTGACATATTGAGGGTGCACTTAAATTAACATAATCTGTTCAGTTATTGCACAATTCTGTGGTGGCGCGTGGACGTCAATGGCGCCGCGTTAAAGGGAAGGAAGACCAAATAAATCGTGGACAAATTCGTGGACAAGAATTACATATACATATATAAATGCATTTAAATTGACGTTAGAGAGTGAGAGAGAAAAAACACACGATGAATGGAGGGAGAGAAATACAAAAAAAACAAAAACAACAACATATTATAATGATTGCATTTTAATTATATGCGTGACTCGTTAGTTAGTATTGGTGAAATGGTTATTAATTGTAGGTGTGAATACACATTACCATAACTACCATAAAAATGAGTAGAGCAAAAAAAAATATATATATGATTTTAATGCATGAGCTATGAGTGAAAAAATGCAAACAATAAAAAAAAATAAGGAAATCAATTTATTTTCGATCCTTTAATACAACCAACCCAACCTTTACCAGGATTAGTCGGAGATTGCCTCCCTATATTGGGTAAGGAATAAACGACCCGCCTAATAATAGAAACCACCTCTTTAGGTTTCCCACTCACTCCATCTGATACCTAATCAACAAAAAGGTGTACCGTTTGGAGACTTAGTTGGGGAAGTTAGATAGGGAAAATGAATAATAGCTTGCTTAGGTGATCAATACTACTTTATTACCATTAGTAACCATCGAAAATAATTTTTTTTTATAAGTTTTAATTCTTTACAGCTCGTAGCTCTATCTACGAAAATGCAAGGCTGATTAGTTGGTTGAGCAGGCCACTCTACTGACAATGAGGGTTAACAGGCAAAGTCCTTCTCGCTGGTAGCCACGAGCCCATCAGTGAAAGAAACTTCATCAGTTGGCTAAACGGCAGCACACGGTACTGAAAGAAGTCCTAACCTAGCATTGTCCAGTACGAATCTATGCTACCCACATAATGCCGTTTCGAATCCTTAACGCCGTAGCTGTTTAGAGGAAACCGAGATGGTATCATTTCAGCATTTTCTTCACAGCTTCTCTTCTTTCACAAGACTAAGGTTTACACTTCTCGACTCGTATTTCATCAACACTCCCGAAGACCTTTCTGGGGTGGACATTAGCCACATGTTGAACTTGAAAATATTTTAAGTAATGAATAGCTGAGGTAGTATTAAAACTGGTAGATTACTACCGAAAACTGGGAAGATACAGTAGGAACCATTAAACAGGACATAGCTGGGGTTATCACAGAGACCTTTTTATCGACATAAGCAAGAAGGAGCAACGACCTCTACATAACACACTAAATCCTCTTCCTAACCACACCACCTAACCACCTATGCCACACCTGTTTCATTTATTAGGTTTATTTCGTATATGCTCGCTACCTGTTAACTCTTTATGACTAAAGGAATTACCTATTTTGGGAAGCGAATATAAAACTGAAAGTTTATTTGCAAGTTTTCATTAAAAATTTTGAAAACATACAAACACATGCCAGCGAAAGTAAATGAATTAATGTTGAAATGCATTTCTAGTTTACGGTTATTTTTGTTTAAAAACTCAAACCACTATTCATTCGAATGGCCATTTATTGACTCATGGCAGCAACTCCCTAAATTACGCACCGCAGATTGGTGTCATCCGCCAATTGGCGGATTATGTCGCCATTGTCGCTGCCAAGCGTGTCTAATCACGGCAATTTTATCAAATTTTAATCAGAAACGTAAATAATGCGACACCATTTCACTTTAGTGTACGAGTTTTAGGAAAATCTTATTTGTTTGGAAAAACAGAAATAAATAATTTATTTGTTTATTTGCGTTTCACAATAAATAACTAAATAACGGTGCATTTGGAATTCTATGCCATTTTATTGGTATGTTGAAGCGAATTTTATTTTATTTGTGATTGTGTCGCTATCGAATTAGGTTGGTCGCATAAATTAATTACAAACCAAATAATTTAGAATACAAATGGCCGAGAAGCATAGATCACGTAGCGTGTTTGTATGTAGATACTTTTGGATTTATATACAAACATACTTAGTACATTCATTTGTATGTATGTATGTGTGTATCGTTGTGCGAGCGGACGTAATTTCTGTGTGGAATTTGTGAAATGCAGTTAAGTAATTGCATTTGCATTTGGGTTGCGTGCAAATAAATCACAACAACAAATCCTTATCACTGCCGACTGCGTTGATTGCTCAAATACAATAATATCCACTTAAAATTATTTGCGTGGGCAAACCTAATTCGCATTTAATTATAAAATATTTCAAATACTAATGAGCATCCTTTCGTTTTTGATTGGTGCCTAACTAAGCTTCAAATACTCGTACCTGGGGTAGATCAACTCCTAAATGTATGCACTGGAATGTAGGAAAAAATATAGCTTTAAAGCAGCGAAAAGGCAGCTTTCATTTCTTATAACGGTCTGCTGCATTGGATGTTAAGCCTATATAACTTCCTTTGTGTTAGCACGATAACTGAGAGTGTCCCAAGCTTGCTATTAACCTCGGTTTAAACGCTAAATATTTTTTGTTTAGTGTAGGCGATGGTTGCCAAACTCAAAGGATTCTTACGTAAGGAATCTGGCCAATCCAATACATACACCAAATGTGGGTAAAATTACTACATGAAAGCTCAAATGAAACAAGGATGGTTTAGAAGCCATCCGTTATGTCATCTTGGAGTTTCCATTCCTAAATAGCAGGAAAGCATCCATATTTCTTGTTTTGTAGTTCCCACCGTTAACCTTCACATATTCGTTGACTCTCTGTTTACATTAGACTAGGCAGGCTTTTTAAAATAAATCATGGACGTGTATAGCGTCACCAGTAAAACCCGACTAAATTAGGCATCTAGACCCATACTGGAAAGACTGCTCCCATATACACTTGTTTGGCCGATGCTTTTCAGATTCGACGGAATACATAGTCCTAGGAGACTATGGCTGCGGAGAAGTTTACAAGAGATAGTAGAAACTTTTTGAGATGGCGGCGGTATTTGCGGCACCTTAAAGCTATGTGTTTTGTTCAAAAACTTCTCTGCTTTCCCGTACGCAAGCTGTGCTTCCGCTTTAATCGCTGGGAGAGAAATCTTCTTCTAGAAAAAGTACCAATAGTGAAATAGAAAAATATTTCAATTTTCCCCAACATAAGATCTCTTTATCAAAGTTAATGGCTCGTTCTAGGTAAATGTTTAAAATTAGGAGCACCAAATTTTGTGCTCCGAAAGCGTGAGATTAAAAATTGGATTACTTAATTTGTTCGCAACTACAGCATATTTGTAGGATCATACCTTATCATTTAGTAACCTCAGGAGATGAAAGCCTTGAGTGGCTCATTTAATGAATAGTTTCTGCAGTGCGGCTCTAAGAATTTTCATATTCGAAATTTTCGGAATAAAAGCAGGCCTGTCGAGATACCGGCCACATGAATAGATAAGAGAAGCAATGTGAATTCGCCCAAATTCTAGTGGCATAAGCGACAGTTGCATACTTAAAGGTGAACCAACTTTTCAATGAGAGCATATCGTGGACGAAACGTTCCTAAGTCCGGCGGCTTTCAGAATCGTATTATTGTCCGTGCCTTCTCTTTATCAGAATTAAATTTAAAAATTTCATAATTAAAATGAATTTTCCTTCAATAGCAAAGCTAAGTACTTAATTGCTTATCGAACTCTCGCTTACACGCACTTTTGTTTTTACTCATTAATCAGTTATGGAATTTAAACGTTCAAATTAAAAAAGGCAAAAATATGGAATGAGTATATACAGCGATGACACGTAAAGAATGCTTGTGAGATGAGAAGCTGATAATGTAGTGTGATTTACGATATATGAACTTAAATAAATATATAAGTATGTATCTATATATATATGTACGTATGTATGTGAGTAAGCATATGACTAGCGTGAAAATGAGACTAAAAGAGTATATATGTATATGTAAGTAAATGAAGGGTAAATTTATCTACGTACTCGAGAAGCAGTTGGCGCAGTGTTGCTTCATCTTCGCCATGACATCTCAGTCGTGATTCACGATTTTCATTGCGTTCGCTGTTGTTGCCGTGTCGGGAACGTTTTGGCGCGTAACTAAAGGAATGACGATAAAAACGTCCACCATTATTTACGTTGCCACCACGATGGTGTGCGTCTGCGAAAAGAAGGTAAAGTAAGTAATGGAGACAAGAGTGTGGCGAGGGTACTATGATAACAAAGATAATCAAAGACTTAATAAAAAAAATTTATAAAAATTTTAAATTGTATGAAAAAAAAAATTATTGTAGACATGCAAGTATTCACTTGAATGGGCTCATCTAATTTATTATAAATGTGATTAATATAAATATTTTAGTGTTTTTTTTTTTATGTCGTACTTCCACTGGGCGTAAAATGACAAAAATTTTAATGAAAAAGTTTTTTTAAATTACATACATTTTTTGTCAAATCAATTCTCATTGGAAACTCGGCATTATGCCGCATTTCCGCTGGGAATTAAATGACAAAATAATTTCTTTACAAATTTGGGCATTAAAACACCGGCATCGTTATGTTAAAAATAAAACCCATTAGGTCCGTTTCCACATGCCAATTTTTTATAGTAGCATAATTTTTTTTATTTTGTCTTTTCAATGCCTAGTGGAAGTTCGGCATTAAGCCCGAAAAAAATGAATACCACTATTTTAACTAAATTTTTAGATTAGTTTAATTTTATGTCAAACATTTACTCACCTTCTGGTCGCAGGCGTACGGGAGGCGAGGTCAGCTTGAGTGTAGTGGTGGTTGTTCTTGTTGCAGGCGGGGTCTTACGTCGACCACCAAAAACATAATCGTAAGAGTCTTCGCTCAAATTGGACACTATACGAATGCGAATATGTTCGAAATACACATATGTACATATATTTTTTAAACGATTTTTTTTTTTCAAACGAGCATGAGAACTCTCGAAAAAATCATTAAATGCAAAATTAAAAAAAAAATTAAGAACTCATAAAAAATAGTAAATAAAATAAAAAAACTGCATTTATACTCACTCTACGAAATAAATCAACGATAAAGCGACACGAAAAAAAAATATATTTTTTTTTTTTTTTTTTTTTCACAACGCAAACATTTGCCGTAAATGTTGGAGTTTTCATAAATTTTGCGGTTTAATTTCATTTTTTAATGTTTTTTGGTGTTGTATTAATATTGTATTTTTTTTTTTTTCATATATCAACGCGTTGAAAAAACACACGCAGAAAAGAAATAGAGAACGAGTAATTTGATTTGTGGTTAGCATTTTTTTGTAAGCTTAATAGCAGATAATATTTTTTTGTTGTTTTTGAATAGCTGATGTGCATGTTTTTGGGTTTGTTGCATGTACATATGTATGTATGTATGTATGTAGTACACATATTGCAAATGATGTGGGGAAGTACATTGAGATGTTGTAACAAGTAAAAAAGCACAACTTCAACTGTAGAACTTCAACAAATTGGTTGCAAACGCACAAGCATCAAAAGATTTTATTCACTTGGATGAAAGAAGAAATACGAATATACAAATTACGGCGCAAAACCTAAGAAAAATAATGCGCTCAGTTAAGCTGCAAGCGTTCGAGGTACAGCTGTAGCCAAGAAAAAAGTCCAAATAGATAAATTGGACTGAAGAAACATTTGAGAAAACACTTAAAAAGGTATGCCAAACAAATATTTTATTTTTACTATTAGGAAAACAAGCAAACATCAAATATTTTCTTATGACTTCGTAATGGCAATGAAAGTAGCGAATTTTTATTTTTTTTAATTTGAAGTGCAAAAACGACGACGATGTTGTTGTTTGTTTTTACGATAGCTGCTTAAAAATGCAAAAACAAAAATTTTAATCTCACATGAGGTGATCTTATGTGTGTACCTATGAATGCACAATAGACCACGTCAAAAAAAATAAAATAATAAATAAAAAATCCTGCAATGCGACCGGAGTAACAAATGGGACAAGGGATTAAAAAGGATAATTTAGGAATTTAAACAATCTGAGTCTGCATAATGCTTAAATGGCATGTAATGAGTGTACCTCATCTTATAGTTTGGAGTGTTTTCATTGATCCTAGAAAATTATATCGACCTCAAAAGGAACTCATTTTAGATTTAGTCGCATTGCAGAATTTTGACGTGGTCTAATGCAAATATACATATAAGTTCTGCGTACAGCCCTGAGTGTTATGTATTTTTGCAAGGCAATTGGAGAAAATATTTTTTTGTCGAACCTGCATTAGGCAATACATTTTATTTTTATAATAGTTCTGGAATAATCGAAATACTTCGTCGGAAAAAATTTACTTATTTTTAGTGATCAATATATCATACTTTAAAATCCGACTGTAACCGCTGAATATATTACGAAAAATTTAAAAATACGATCCCTACTTTCAGGGAAAAAATTTTGTTTTCGAAATTGCTCTTACAAAAACACTTTTTCTCTGTTGTCTAGTGTACATATACGGCTGTTTATATTTATTGTGAAATTTGTTAAAGGTGTGCTGTGAACTAAATTTTACTCGTTGGTTGGGGCGTATACGCAACCTAAGTAAGTGTTTAGTGTAGTGTGGCGGTTTTCGTGCATGGCTCACAGTGATGCCACTGAAAGCAAAAACTACCAAAAACCGTTGAAAAGTGCAAGGATGGAGGCTGCTGTGTGTGCTAACATGTTTGCATGTAAGTGCGTATCTATCTGAGTTTCTCATTGATTGTTTGATCGCAAAAAAATTAATCACATGTTTTTGGATTTCCTTTAAGCAGTGCTAGCAAATGCTTTGGTATACGACTTGAAGACACCACTAAAGCGGGCGCATGTCCGAACAGTGGAAAGGTTCGCAATGCATGGGTTCGTCGTACTGGGAGGCAAATGGAGACCATTTCGAATATGGTGTTCTACAATCTTAAGTCATAGGGTTAAACGATAAGCCGAAAAAAAGTTCTGAAAAATATTCACTCGTCTTCATATTATTATCCAAACAATATGTACCAAAACATTTGCTAGTACGAAGTATATTTTTAATTGCATCTCTTTTATTTTTATTTAATTTTATTTACTATTATTCTTAATTTAATTTAATTTGATTCAATTACTTTATTTTATTTCATTTTATTCTATTTTATTTTATCTAACTTTTTAGTTTTTTTTCACGTTATTTCATTTCATTTACAGTATTAAGATTTCAGTAAAAATGCGTTTGCATGTATGTATGTATGTATGTATGTATGTATAACAAATAGATGTATGTACCAATGATTTGCATTCAAATGTATGTGTATGTATACAATAAAAAAATCACATCAATTAGTAAAGCAACACCAATCGAAAACTTAAAAATGGCAACGAAGTAAGAAAAATATTCGAATCAAGAAAAAATCCAAAAAATTAGCAAACATTCAGAAAAATCTACACAAAACGACTGAAGAAAAGGAAAAACAGGCAGGCCTTAAAAAGGTGTACCAACAAAAAAAATATTAAATCACTTGCACTAATTCAAAAAAAAACAAAAACAAAACGCACTAATAAAAAAGCGGTGGTAGCTCAAAGGCTTTGGCAACAAAACAATGCAAAAATATAACTTTTATAAAAAAGTGAATTGCTAAAAAAATTTGAGCAATTAACATCAAAATTTTTATTACAGCATGCCCAAATATCCAAGCAGAACTTCAAAGATGAAGGATATTTTTTTTTTTTTTTGTGGAAGAGCGAGGCTAGTTACATCGTTTATGCATCAAAAATACTTATCACACCTGGAAAAACCGTTAGCGGTTGAAGCACTTGTGTTGAACGCAGTGGCGGTGGCAGCGGCGGCAATTGTCCGAATGGATCCTGGCCGTTCGAAATGGAAGACGATGGTGGTGAGATCATCGATATATCACCGCTAGTCGCCATTTCATAGTTGCGGCCAGCTGGAGGAAGGCAAATACATATATATAGCAAAATATTTTTAAATGTAAATATATATATACTTAATGAGTACAATGCTTTGTCTGGCGTTAAGTTTGACAAAAATATCTAAAAAAAAAACAAAAAAAAGTATAGAACAAAAGTAAATAAAAAACTGCGAGTAAATTAACCAAATAAACATAAACACTGACAGAGAGAATCTTTTTGTTAGGCCACCCATTAAGAAAGTCCACTAACTACTCTCATGGACCGTTGTAACCCTATTTTCTCGACAAAACTGGATTTGATTTAACGTTGGTGAGAACTGCGAGTTCAAATTTTCAAATCTGGTCTTTCTCGGGAAAATCAGATCTTTTTATTCTTAAGATTAGCGACCTTGAGTAACTACTTATGCTGCGATATTTCCTATCAAAGCTAACAGTTATTGAAATTCAGCGCCGAAAAATCCTGTACCACTGCTTAAATACTCTTTAAGTGCACGGAATTCCGTTTGGGTTTTTAGCTGGTTTAGCCAACTTAGCCGAACCAGATTACTAAAAAATTCCAAAAAAAAATACACACAAAAACTCTGAATTCCATTAATTCGCAATCTCGTTGACGCCGCAGAGGAACAGCCGTCACAGCAACATCCCGCAACCCGATGCCGCCATTTGTTACCTTTGGGTCATTGAGTCGCGTCTGGCACGTTTGGCTTGCACATTTTCAAAAGGTTAAAATCGCATTGAACGAATTCGATTAGAAATAAAGCTGAAGCCATAAAACGCACATTAGTGACATGACAGGTTCCGCGCCGTGCCGTTGAGCACAAACAAAAGCACATATGTAGGTGCATGTATACATACATACAAACATACCCTGCAAGCCAAACTTCTCGAAATCTTTAAGAGTATCTCATTTCTGCAACGATTTTTTTTTTACGAATATTCAAAGAAAATTGTATGAAGTGGTTGACACAAACTCGTACAGAAATTTCTGTATGAAAAATAAAGAAAATTCTGAAAGAAATTCTTCACATTGCATCGTTATTTTCATTGCTTCAAAGATTTTCTTCCGAAATTTCATAAGAGAATCGAAGTGTGCATAATTTCCCTGCAAACCAAAGTTCCCGAAATCTTAAGGAAATCGTTAGGAGTATCTCATTTCTGCAACGATTTTTTTTTACGAATATTCAAAGAAAATTGTATGAAGTGGTTGACACGAACTCGTAAAGAAATTTCTGTACGAAAAATAAAGAAAATTCTGGAAAAATTCTGTAAGATATTCTTCACATAGCACCATTATTTTCGTTGCTGCACAGATTTTCTTCCGAAATTTGGTAAAAGAACGTGCGTAATTTATTTCATTTTAGGAAATTCGGCAAAAAATCGAATTAAATCTTAACGAATTCTTTAAAATTTCTTTACAATGCAGAATACTCTGGAAAAAATGGTTTGCAGGGTTATTTCATTTGAGGAAATTCGAAAAAAAATCGGAGTTACGAATTCCTTAAAATTTCTCAACAGTTCAGTATACTCTAAAAAAATCGTTTGCTTATATATATGTATGTGTGTCTAAAAAAAATACTATATTTTTATCAGCGTCATGTGTGCCCGCCCTAGCGTCTAAGCGTAATTTTTGCGTTTTAGTGCTGCCGGCAAGTACGTGTGTTTGTGTGTGCGTGTGCACTATTTGCGCAAACGATTCGCCACCATCATCCACTGACTGCTGTAACCACAACATCACTTTTCCACAACATTAACGCAAATTGCAATGAAATAAAAATTTAAAGTCCCCATTGAATTTGAATTCATACAGCAATTTACACTATACATATTTACATATACAAATTTACATACTCATGTATGTGTGTACATATGTAAGCGTAAATACGAAGTTTTGTGTACTTATGATTAAATTCTGCATTCGATATTGATTTTTATTTTGCAAAAGGCTTTAATCATCCCCAAGTCAAAAGGGTTGAGTATTATAAAAAATTTGCGATCGATAACCCTATATTTATCGATATCGGGATTGATATAGTTCTTGCTGCCGATATCTCTTGACTGACGTCCATCAGTATAGAAATAAAAAATTTGTTCGAGTTCATTATCGGCTTAGTTTTTATTATCGATATATCTATTCGTTCTAATATTTTTATAAAAGGTGAACTAAATATTTAAAAAATTTAATCAACTATCTTTCGGCTATAGCCTTCTAAATAATTTTTGGATAAAAGCTAGAGCTCTATATGTCTGACAACTTTATCCCACAGCCTTTTACCTGAAGCGCAGAAATGTCTATAATTACACTGGTCTACAAATTTCAACTTTTTTTCTGCGAATAAGACGGGACCTGGTGTTTCTGAACGGATTTTTCGTGCTGAACACGGTCTTAACTACATTAAGAGTCGCTGATTACGAATCTGCAGTTAGATTTTAAAAATTTAAGATGACGGGTCGAATATGGTGGATATAAAAATTTCAAATTTAATAATGTTCAATAAATTATGGTACGTAGGATTTTGAATTTTTAAAATCTAACTTCAGATTCGTAATCAGCGACTCTTAATGTAGTTAAGACCTTAGCATCATTCATTTTATATGGTCGTTTAAGATGAAATTCTTTCTGCGATCAATTTTCCCTGGACTCCTAGACACAAATACACCCCCTGATCTAAGGGTGCATGCGATTAATTCGGCATAGGGCTCATTCGAAAGGGCACGATTTAGCCTTTAATTTCTGATATATGCAAAATTTGTACCACGTCAGGGTTCAGCTCTATAATTTTTCGAAAATGGCCAAAAACGCTGTTTTTAGGGGTTTCAACCCCTTTTTTTCTCGAAAACGTGACGTGATGGGAAGTTTTGGACCCCAGATTCGTGTTCAGCACGAAAAATCCGTTCGGAAACACCAGGTCCCGTCTTATTCGCAAAACCCTTGTAGACCAGTGTTATCCTTCTCTCTTGCTTTTCGCACCACCCTTGCAAAATCATGCACATCCGACTAAATACATATGTAAATGTACACATCGGCATACACATGTACAAACAAAATATGTGTGTGTGTGTGCGCAACCAGTACGCGTTGCATGAAATCAGACGGACGTGAAAGCCACATTTTGCAGAGCACACCTTCTACACACTCCTCTCCGACAATCTAAAACGCAGCAGCGGTACGCTTTTGTCGGGCGTGTTCTATGAACGCATTGCCAAAAAATCGAAAATATAAAAATCTATTGCAATATCCAAGCATTAGCGGTAGCACAGATTGTCGGTTTGGTTGGTTGAAGCAAATAGGGAGTGTGAAGGGAAGAACGAAGGGCAGAGCCTGCGGCCTGCACAAAGCCAGAGCAGGTGAAGTTGATAGCGTCAAAGAAGAAGGCCACGACAGTGCATTCTGGCATATTTTCAGCGAATATGAAACCAACCAACGAACGAACGAAAGGCATGCATGCGTGCGCCCTGCGAATTCACACACACATGTACATTAGGGTGGTCCAAAAACAGTAAAGTCGGAATTGTAGTGCTCTCACCCCCTAGCGCTGTTCTGTATCGAACAAAGTATAGCCCTATTTTTTTTATTTTGAAATCAAAAAAATATATAGAGGTCGCTCAAAGCGCTCAAAGTTTTCCATGTATTTTTACATGGGAAAAAACAAGTTTTCGTAGAAATGGTATAGAATTCTTGAAACTAAATATTTTGCGATTGGAAAACTCTTGTTCTCTTCGGGAGACTTTCAATGGTAATACCCAATTGTTTATTTAACCATTTTTTAGAACTAACGATTTTTTATTGGTTTTTGTGGGTTTATGGCGGACCTATAAATTATAGGTAAAAAACAAATGGAAAACTTTGGGCGACCTCTAAATATTTTTTGATTTCAAAATAAAAAAATAGGGGTATACTTTTTTCAGTATAGAACAATCCTAGCGGGTGAGAGCATCAAAATTCCGACTTTACTTTGCACATGCATTTTTGGACCACCCTGATGCACATACTTACGCGCAGATTCAAATACAAATGCATGTGTGTGTGTGTGCGTACTGGGCGAGTGCGAGTAATTTATGTGCGAAAGGCTCGGTTTGGTTTTAATGTTTTTTTTTTCGGATTTCCCAACCCAATGCATTGACCGCGCAAAGGTTTCCACTAACTATGCTGCATACCTTTTTTCCATTCTGTGTTTCTTCCTTCATGCTATTCCACACTCCTACTGCCATCTGATCCCACTATCTTTGGAATCGTTTTTACAACTAACTGCGCTATTTTGCATTCGTTTGAAAATTTCAAAAATGCAAAGCATTCGTTCGCATATTTTGGCGGTAAAAATGTGAAAATGTGTGTAAAAAACGGAAAAAGTAAAGCTCATAAAAATAAACGAGGCCACATGCTGACTAATGTGCGCGTGTATGAGTATATACTATACATACATCCGTTTTTTTTTTGTGGGTATATGCACGCGCACGCATTCCCACCGGACGTTAAGCGGCTGGAATTCGCACATGTCTATAAATATTTCTAATACATATACACATGTACATATGTATGTGTGTATTTATGCGTGTGCTTGTGCATATGCCGAGCAACTGTCGGATATGTGTGGTTTTCGAAACACGTTTATGCCATATTTAACTTAAAAAATTATTGGTTTGTGGCAACGACCTCATTGTGTTATTGCAATTCTAAAACGGCACCTTTTGTTCGTACAGCCATCCGGTGTGTTACGGAGCGTATGAGTAACATTTTAAGTATTTTAATGTTTTTTGGTACAATTCCATGCAAAAAGTAGAAGGGGAATTTACCCAAAATGCCACCGTTTGCGTTTTTTTTTTCTTTTTTTTTTTGTTGAGAATGAATTTGGGTTCAGCAGCAATATGCCTGTGAAGCCGCAAATATTACTAAGTATAGTGTATAAAGTTACTTTTAAATTTTGGATAGTGATAGTCGATTAGTGAAACTACTGCTTTCAGTGTTGTTATTATTCAGTATGCACTAAATATCGGTCGCCG